TACTTTTTGGATTTCGACTTTGTAATGAAATATAATGATGTATTGAAGTTCAAGTAGCTATTAAGTCCGATTTACTTCATTTTGCATTTCGCTCAATCTCCTTCATAAATACAGAAAAAAAATAAGAAGGGTTATCTGGATGCATTTATCATTGAATTTAATTGATCGATCGGCATCAGCATCATTGAGTCGAATTTACAGATTGTCTGAATTGACAAAGAAAGGCCTAATTTGTGCTAAAAATTGTGGATGTGAGTGTGGTTGTCAGTATTTTCTCTCCACATGCACATTCCTAAATAATTATACATTAGATACTTCACCCATAACTTTACAGCAGCACGAAAAATTATACGATTTTTATCATTCTACTCAATCATTTACCTTCCATTTACTGTTCGAAAACTTCCGTGTATCGCGTCAAATAAGAAAAAAAATAAGAAAAAATAGACATACACCTCATTGAATAATTCAAGGCTGCAACAAAAAGATGCTTTTTCTCGTTTCTGTCTTTGAATATAGTTTCAGGAATGTCATAGAGTTTGCATATCTTTCAAGATATCTTTAGATGAAGTTTTTTTTCTTTTTTTACTTTCTGGGTCTACACATCAAACGTTTATAACTTGCTTTACGATGATTTCAAGATCGAATTGATGGCACTCAACTTTCTAATAAATCAGACAACGCATATCATCTGTTTACATATAGTTATCGAAAAAGGCAAATTTTTTGAACCCTGTTTTGTTTTTCAAGATTTTAAATAATTAAAATAATAAGAGCATAAATAATTAATCGTAACGACATCTTTGAACAAGGAAAACCAAGCATTAAAACTGCGAGAACAACTGATAACAAATTATGAATCACATAAATTATCAAACAATCATCCGTAATATTTTTTGTTTTAGACACATATGAATAACCAAAATACTGTGTGCTCTTATACGTTAATAAAAACAAAGTAGAATTTTTTATTTTTGACATGCCCATTCAAAGTTTATATTTTTTGTCTCAATGATCTCAAGAATAGAAATTCAGAAGATGTGTGTTCCAATGTAAAAATAAAACTTCAAGATAAAACGAATCAGATTGAACTGAAAGAGTGGTCAGTGTGTCATCAATTCAAATCCTCTCTTTAGTTACATATACTTGCACACCCATGCGATCGATGAATATCATTGTGTACGTGTACATAAGAGAAAAAGTATATTTTAATGATAATAGCAATTTTATTTTATTTTGTTCTAAAAGATTGATTCATGCTCTTAGATTAGTATTGACTACAGTATTTTTCATAGCGTAATTTTAAGAAAATCTTCTCCTCTTCTTTTATATATTTATACCTATTTATCAACAAAACAAACCATAATTAAACCGATGTCTCCTAAAATAAAAAAAATTAGGAGAGAGACAGGTACCCAATAAAATATAGAATATTAAATAGAAACAGTCAAAAACAGTTGAATTCTTATAGATGAAATTGAGAACTCGAAAAAATTAGATTTTTATTGTTCTTCATAGAAAATTTTGAAATTAATTATAATAAGAATGTAAAATATTTGTAGGTGTATCAAAATTGACGATCATTCCTCGATCCAATACAAGAATACGATCATATTCTGCCAATGTATCTAGTCGATGAGTAATTGTAAGAATAGTTCGATCTTCAAATTTATTTTTAAGTACTTTTTGAATCAGATCATCTGTTTTTGGATCAACATTAGCTGTTGCTTCATCAATCAATAGGATTTTACTTTTTTTCAGCATGGCTCGTGCAATGCATACTAATTGACATTGTCCAACACTCAAGGTTTTGCCAGATTCACCAATAAGCATTAGAAGACCTGCTGAATGATTTTTTACAAACTGTTTAAGTTGAGCATCTTCAAGTGCCATCCAACATTGTTCATCAGAATAATGATCAAATGGATCAAGGTTGTATCGAAGGGTACCACTGAATAATATAGGTTGTTGCGGAATAACACTGAGATGAGATCGAAGATGGCTAAGTGTGATACGGCTTATATCAACATCATCAATGAAAATTTCACCATTAACACATGATCGATTAACAAAGCGAAGAATACCTTTGAAGAGTGATGATTTTCCAGCACCTATACACATGAAAGATTTGAAATTCAAAAAACCTATAATCTCGGCATTAATACGTACCAGTTCGACCAATAATGCCAATCTTCTGACAAGACTCTATACTCAAGTTGATATTTTTAATTGCATATTCTAGGTTAAATTGATGGCGTAATGAATAATTTCTAATTTTAAGTTTTCCATGAATTGGCCATTTTGGTGAAGTTTCTACAAGACCGTTGTGACCGCCGTGATCGTCCTCACGTGGTAAATATGAATACTCATCGATGCGTTCGCCACTTATCATCATTGTATCGGCTTCAGTCAGTTTCCGCATAGACCATTGAAAATATATTGATACATGCATTGCATACAATAAGCTGAGTGCAGATACCGACGATTTTGCATTGTCGTGAATATATACTATTTGAATAGAAATGATTAATAATATGACTACGCAAATAGTGCTAATTATTAATGCAAACCATTGTGATGCAGCATGTACGATGAGATATACAGATGTATGCACATCAATTCTATCAGCCATTAATTGAATAAAACTGTTTTCAGCTTGAAATGAACGAATTGTTGATAGACCATTTAGGGATGATGAAAAGAGTGCATACACAGGACTGCGAGTAACACTTTCAAGTCTTTTAAGTCGACGTGAACATTTTTGACAAAAGTAAATTATTAACCAAATAACTGGTACTAATAAAATAAGTGCCAAGATAAGATAGGGATTAATAAAACACATAATGAACATCGAACCAATTGCTATTAATAGTCCTTCCACACCTTCCAACCACGTTATCGGAATTGAATCATCAATAACATATTGATCTTGGCTTGCTCGGTTCAGAATTCTACCACTGGGATTAGTTTCAAAAAACAGTATTGATGTATATAAAAGTCCTCTTAACATATTATTGTGTAAATTATTTGAACCACGTAACATAACATTAAAAGCATAGAGCTTGCGAACGATATCTACGATTACTGTGGCAACTATCAAACTAAAAAATATATAAGCAGATTTCAATGAGACTTGCTGACCTGCACCAGATTGTTTCAAACAAATGCTAAGCCAATAATATGCACATTCACTTAATGCTTCACCCAATAAGAGTAAAACAATAAGTAAACAGAAGCCAATTCTACCAAATGGTGGTGCAGTAAACAAGCGATACCAAATAGACCATCTGGTATCATCATCTAGTAGTTTTTCATCAGTTACAATCGAATGATGGCGATCCACTGATCTACTATCATCAATCAGACTGGCTAATGTTGAATTTTCATTTTCTTTTGTGTAATTTTCTTTAGTAATATTTCTATTCAAGTAGCCATGTTTATCAATATGACCATTGGCTAGAAATATTATTTGATGTGATTCACTAAGAAATTGAGTTTGATGAGTAGCTAATAAACGAGTTTTATTTTTTAATAATCCAAACGGACCAATACATCGATCATAGATTTTTTTAGCTACTTTATGATCAACAGAAGATAATATATCATCAAGCAGATAAATATCTGCATCAGCATACAAAGCACGAGCTAATGACACTCTCGCCTTTTGTCCACCGCTTAGATTAAATCCATTTTCTTCAATCATCATAAGATCACCACTAGGCCCAAATAAACTAATATCAACATCAAGACAACAAGCATGTATTACATTTCTATATCGTTGCTGATCGAATGGTCGATTTAAAAGAATATTGTTGCGAAATGTATCTTCAACTATCCATGGCTTTTGAGCAGCATAAGCGAATGAACTATTATTTGTATTTAATTGACCATTGGTAAGATTCATTTCACCGAGAATAGCAGCCAATAAGGATGATTTACCAGAGCCTACTGGTCCAACAATTCCGACAAATGTGCCTTGTTCGATATTCAAATCAGATAATGATAGACAAGGCATCTCATTACGCCACGAAAAACATGCATTAGAAATCATGATATTTCCCTTTTTTTGTTCATTGATTAACGATGTTGATAATACAGAATGATCATTTTGTTTCATGATCGAACGCATAAATGAATCTATTCTTCTTGATGCAGATTTGGCCACATTTAATTTCTCAAATGACATTGGTAGAAAATACATAACATTCATACGCAGTAAAGCAAATAATGAAAGGGCTGGAAAAGTATTCTCTACAGTTAATGGATAACCTAAAAGCCAAGCACTGCCAAATGTGGTGAGTGCCAAGAGTAATGTTGAAAGAAAAAATAGAGCCATATTGTATGCACGAAAACATGACGTACATCGAATATTTGCTAATTCATGTTCTCGCATTTCAATTATACGATCTTCCAATGGTTTTTCCCAGTTATACATTTTAATGAAATGACATTCATAAATGATTTCACTAAAACCTTGCAGACGTTTATCGCTACACACAGCTGTTATTTCATAATATTGACTAATTTTTTTACTGAAATATAATTGCATAAGAACAAATAAAGGAAATAAAGCATAACCACATAATGCTGGTATAGGTTGCATAATCCAACAAAGTAAACCAAATATAATGATAGTCTCGAGAAGTCCTTCAAATAGATAGGCCAAATATGTGCACAATTCTTCAAGCTTGTATGCATCTTTAGTGATCAAGTTAATAATTTGACCTGTGTTCATACTTTCCCATAATGCTAGTTTTAGAGACAATGCACGTTGGAAAATAATAATAGTAAGTGCATTCCTAATTCGCATGCCAATACGAGCCAAACGAAAAAAATTTTGTCGATGCATGAGCGTTTGTATAATGACCAAAATAACCAATAGTGTTATGTATAAATAGCTGACTATATTTGACCTTTGTTTATTCATAATATGCAAGAGAATTTGACGAAAAAGTAATGGTTGAGCAATACTTGTTATCAAATACGGAATTATGAATAGACTAGCAAAAAATGTAATCTTTTCCAAATTCTTTACAAACAATATTCCACGTTGTTGTTGATGACCAGTCATACGAAGATAATCTATCTAATAATACAGAAGCTTTGTCAACCTGAGGTATATCATCAAGATCATCTACTGTAAGTTGTCGTTTACAGCTTGCATTAAGAATCGGATTCATCCAACACCAAAATAGTACATTGAAAAATCGAATCCAAGACGATTCTGCCCATTCAAGACGAGATGAATGATGTTGATTATGATTATCAGCAGAATATGAAACGTGTTTATTATTAAGCAAGGTTTTTCTTTCTTCATCTTCTTGCATCTCATTTATCTTCTCCATCGAAATGAGTATGATTTTTGATTATCACGTGCTTATTGAGAGTATTCATCCGAAACAAATAAAAATTATCATGGCTGCATGTATGCTTTGTTTATTAGTGAGCACGTAAAATTATAAATAACGGCAAACATTGCATGCAATAATAACTCAACCAGATAAAAAGTATCGATTCAGTAGTAAACGGTAAAGCGAAAATGGATTGACACCAAAAATAATCGAGCAATGCATAAAACAAAAGAACGAAAGCTTTTATAATAATAGCTTCAATTCAGACGAATAAATGAAATCAGTACAAAAAGAATGAAAGACATTATTCGCAAGCTGCAAATCATTATAAATGAACATAAGAATTACTATCTCTTTTCAAAATTAAAATTGTGAAATCAGCAG